CCAACTCCTCAAGTAGTGATCTCAGCCAAAGAATTTCAGCCACTCCATTAGCCATTGACCTGTACTCAGCTTCAGCACTGGATCGGGAGACAACACTCTGTTTCTTACTCCTCCAAGAGACCAGGTTACCTCCCACAAGAACACAATATCCAGAGGTAGATCTTCTGTCATCAACACTCCCAGCCCAATCGGCATCCGTATAGACTTCCACCTTCATGTGGTCATTGTTCYTGAATAGTATACCTCTACCCGGGCATCTCTTCAAGTATGTTAGTATTCTTTCTGCTGCTAGAAGGTGCGTGGTTCTAGGAGAATGCATGTACTAATTGACAACACTAACGGCATAACTGATATCTAGCCGGGTGAGGCATAGATATAGGAGCTTTCCCACTAACTGCTGGAACATAACTTTGTCTTCAAGCAGCTCTCCACTCTCTGCACTAATCCTGTGGTTCTGTTCAATGGGTGTATCTGCAGGTTTGACACCCAGCTTTCCAGTTTCAGCCAAGAGATCTAAAACATATTTCCTCTGAGAGACAAAGATCCCCTGTTTAGATCTAGCAACCTCAATACCCAAAAAATACCGTAGTGTACCCAGATCTTTCACCTCAAACTCTTGTTGAAGGAGTTGTTTGAGGGACTCAATCTCATGGTTGTCATTTCCTATCACCACAATATCATCAACATATACTACAAGTAGTGTCAGTGACGACTCCACCCTCCTGATGAACAGTGTATGATCTGACTGGGCCTGTACATAACCGAACTTCCCAAGGGCTAGTCTGAATCTGTCGAACCAAGCTCTAGGTGACTGCTTCAAACCATAYAATGCCTTATTGAGCCGGCAAACCTTCTTACCTGCCTCTGTATCATAGAATCCAGGAGGCAACTGCATGTAAACCTCTTCCDGCAAGTCCCCATTCAGGAAGGCATTCTTAACATCCATTTGGTACAAAGGCCAAGTGTAGCTTGCTGCAAGAGATAATAGAACCCAAGAGATACTGGGGCAAATGTCTCCAAGTAATCTATACCATAAGTCTGAGTGAACCCTTTTGCAACTAGCCGAGCTTTGTACCTCTCAATGGAACCATC